AACTCGGGATTTTCAATGTTCAATCCTGCCCCATTTTCAATGGATTATCGTTTCTTGCTTCTTTCCCCTTCTTTTATTGATTTATTCCCGGTATTTCTACTTATTGTTCAGCAAATTTAACCTTGTTCATCTATGCAAAGGCTTCATGGGTTCCAATGTTGCTCTAGTCCATCCAATCACGAAAATAGAGAAACCTAAACACCCTAGTTATTGAAGGTTGCTATCCGTGGCTTTTTTGGTAGAGGTAATGCTAATGTAAAGTTACTATTTTATCTTTTTTTAATTAGTCAAAATTATGATCAATGTCAATTTTCTGATTAACTAACAGTCAAAATAACAGTTTTCGTCCATTTGGACCCCATGTGTGAATTTTTGAAAAGTTTGGTACCATGAGTGCTACAAAGTAAAAGTTTGGATCAAGTCTGCATAAAAGTGAAAGATTTGGTACCATTGTTGCAATTTTTCCGTTTTTTTAATGAGATTACAATCATATTTGTACGAGTTCTAACTCGTGAATTTAATGTGTAATCTAAAAAATAAGTCAGATATTAAGAGGAGAGATGGAGCGAATAAAATTGAATAAAAATTATTTAAAATTAGTATATAGTCAATATTAATTTATTAGGTTCATGTTTGACCTCAATTCTTTAAAATTTAATTTTCTCGAAATTTATTTTTAATCACATATTTGATGAGATTCACAATTTCTATTACTCTTTTAAACCATATATTTCATAAATTTTATTATTAAAAATTTAATTTTTAGCCAAATCGGCTAAGAACAACAGTCAAAAAGTAATTAAAAGCAATACTATTTTGGATAGATTATTTTAAAGAATTTCCAAAAGAGAATATGGGTGATGAGCTGGAATATGCTGGGAGTGGAGCCCATAGCTGTAATTGGAGATGCTGAAACTTGATGGAATTAAACGCAACGACCAAACTTTGCGCTGCAGATAAGGTTAGTCTTTTGCATACATAGTCGAGGTTTGAAGGAGAGTTGTATTACTATTATTCGGCATTCAAGGCATGAAACAAACCTTTTTTTTTTTTTCCTATTTTTCTTTTGATTTGGCTAATTTGATAGCTAAGAATACTCTCTCTCTCTCTCTCTCTCTCAAGTTTTTTTTTTCCATTACTACGTCGTGGTAGATTGCACAATTTTTTAATCGTTTACATACTAATGATATCAACATCTAGTTAATATATGTGGACTTCTTGTGTTATTGGAGAATAAAAAGAAAGAATTAGAGATAATTTTAAGAAATATGGGCCAAACATGGACATTATGTACATGTGGTGAGATGCTACTAATTTTTAAAAATTTATTTGTTGTAAATTTAACTTTATGGGGTGCATATAACATTTACGGTATTAAGATTCTTATAGATATACTACTCTCATTGGATTGACATTGATCTTTATATTGTTAGGAATGATAACGGGACAGATCGGGATAGATCCCATCTTCCGTCCTCATACTCGCTTAAGGCGGGCCGAGGTGTGGTACCATCCCATTTATTTATTTTTATTGTGCTTTTATTTTTTATGTCTTTAATTTGTGATTTTTTTTTTAATGTATTAAGAACAACACACGTTTCTTTTATAAATCAATAATAATTATTTTCTTTTTGTTTCATAAAAAATTAAATTTAAAATAAATGTTAAATGTGACGGGTAATGGGGGTGAGGAACTTGTTTCATGACGTGTCCATTAATCCGATTAGGTAGATAATCCTCCTCTCGTTCGGGATGGGCTTTACAAGTTTTAGGTTTAACGAATTTTTTGTCATCCCTAGCAATAAGCACTTGCAACCTTGCTAGAGTTGTAGCTACTAGTAAGAATGAACTTAAAAGTTAAAGCCTCATTTATAAAGCGCCTGTTTGGAGAAAATTTTACTTTCATTTTTAGCAAAAAATGAACTGTTATAGTGATCTCACATGACATTTTCCACGTTTTTGACATGAAAGAGACTGCAGGTTGAATTTTGAGATTCTTCCTCTCTCCTTTATTACGTTTTTACCCCCAACAATTATCTCAACCACCCAATTGACTGTAATTAATTTCCACTTTTACTCTTCCATTGGAGAGTGAGTAGGTCATGTGAGGGTAGATTTGGAAAATAAGTGTTGTAAATTAAAAGCAAGAATCTTTTTTTTTTTCAGGTTGCAGTCTATTTCCATGTCAGAACCTATTGAAATGGGCCGTGAATTCAATGTGCAACGGTCCAATTTCTTCTAAAAATGACACCACAATTTCCTCCAAACAGGCTCAAACTTTCACAATTTTTCTTTAGGTAATTATATTAACACCGCAATTTTATTTCTTGCACTACATTTTAATTACATTTAAAAATTCTCAATCTTTACTTATTATAGCATTTATATCCCTAACAATTTTTCATGAGATTCTTATAATCATTAGTTAACATATTTTGTATTTAATAACAATTTATGTTCAACAAGTTCATTAAAATGAAGTACAACTTATTTTATGAAAAAAATATTTTTATCTTATTTCAAAGTATCAAACAAAATATTTTAACATAAATCATCATTAAGGACTAAATGTATTTGTTGACCCCAAAAAATGAATTTAACAGATACCGAGCCCACCCTTGCCACGTCAAGTAATGATCTAACGCGTTTCTACCATAATAGGAGCGGTAGTACGGTTGGATGGAACGCGGGAGGTGCTTTCCGGCAAGAGACACAACTGTTCGAGCTCCGATGGTTTGATTTAAACGGCCCTTGCGCTATCAATAAGAGCTCGATCGATTTTTCTAAAATGAATATCTGTTTTGTAATTAAATATGTGGAAGGATAGATAAAAGAGAATATATTGTAATGTGTTATGATCTCGACGAATGGTATATTCCACAAGAGAAAGCAAAGCAAAGTGTATTCATCTGTTATTTCCATTCTCCCCCATTCTTTCTATACAAAGATAGGCTATTTATATTATTCTAGCCGACGTGGTGACCGTGAGATCAAATCCACATGGCGACATCCTCTAGATCGAAGCCTTACATCACTGTCCAATCTTTACAATTAATGTTTGGCAGAAGATCCGCCGTTCTACTTTGTAGACTGATTCCCT